GTAGTGATAAAATCATTGCAGGTCAAGAAATTCCTTGTTTGTGTAAATGCTAACCTGAGTTGGTATGTAAAGTATAGCAAATTTGAGTTACAATTCAGATTGTTAAATTATGTAGAATTTTTTTTTTGTTAAATCATGTGAAATAAAAGACAAAAGAATGATCAGTTTATGAATATTTATTGAGGAATAAAAGTTTTTGGAGTGTCTTTGCTCCAAGTCGATTTCTCCTCTGAGACACCATCTCCCCAGCCTCAGAAAATACTCTTTACATGGTTCAGATGACGATAGTGAGCATAGAGTTTTGAATGAAAGTTGATGCAGATGTGGATATGTTTTCTGGTTCCATTTCCAATATTGTAAAGTTTACAATGTTTTCTGGTTCCATTTCCAATATTGTAAAGTCTGATGTACTATCTAAAGACTTAAGAAAGACACGGTACAGTCCCAGAAACATAGTAAACAGCAACATCCCCCCCATTTCTAATAAAAGTTGAAATAAGCTTGTTTACTCAACTCAACTGTATTTATAGAGCACTTTCAAACAGCCATTGCTGCATACAACAGTAAAGCAACAAATCGATAACAAAGACGGTAGAAAGCACCGAACAGCAAAACCAAGAACAAATCTGAATCATGCTGAGTCAAATGTCAAAGAATACAAGTGAGTTTTGAGGTGGGTTTTAAAGATGGGTAGCGAGGAGCGTTGCCGAATGTTCAGTGGGAGGTCATTCCAGAGAGAGGGACTAGCAACAGAAAAGGCTCGATCCCCTCTGAGCCTCAGCCTAGTTCTCGGTACCTCCAATAATGTCTGGTCCGCACACCTGAGGCGCCGGGCAGGTGTGTAGGGGCGGATGAGTTCAGAGAGGTAAGGTGGTGTGAGGTAATTTGAGATTTGAAAACAGTAATAGGATCTTGAAAATAACTCTAAAATGTAAAGGGAGCCAGTGAATGGATGCCAGAGTAGGAGTTATGTGCTCCCTCTTACAAGTACCAGTCAAGAGGCGAGCAGCTGCATTTTGGACCATCTGGAGGCGCTTAATGGAGGATTGGCTCACTCCAAAGTAAAGGGCATTGCAGTAATCAAGCCGGGATCTGACGTAAACAATGCTCAAAGGAGAAAAAGATTTACCAAGATCAAAATTATTCCACACTGGGGAAAGCTTCTTAGAACGATCAATAATTTCACAAAACTCCAGCCAACAAACCCACGATATGTTGATACAGTTTGTGTCCCTATAAACACACTTTGGCGCAGCACATTCAAACGATTCAGTTCCTGTATTGGTCACGTGATTCTTTTTTAAAGCAATACATGCACCGATACCGGGTTTCACTCTTGAGCTCTCGGCACTGTGCTGACGCACCAGTGTCGCTCGTCCCATCACTAGTGTCAGGAGCATGGTCTGGCGTACATTAATAGCTATAGGAGGTTTAGAAGGAGGGGAACCTGGAAGCATATGGCGGGTGGAAAGTGGTATGAGTTGGACAGATTTTTGGTGAAAGGGAGTGAGAGGCACCGCATGGTGAAGAGGATGTGGACGATTAATGAATATGAGCTGTCAGATCATAGGCCAGAATGTATGAAGGTGAATGGGAAGTGGAAGAGATGGAGGACGGAAGAGAGGAGCCAGAGGAGAGCACCGCACCGATGCTGAAAGAGGAGAAAAAGAGAGAATATGAGGAGAAGACGAGAGAAACTGGAGGAGTTGGGCGAGGAGGGACTGGAAAAGGAGAGTAGGTGGACGGAGGTGGCAAACATCATGGTGGAGACAGCAGTGGAGGTTTGTGGAAGGGAGAAGAAAGAGATATCTAACCCATGGACGGTAGGGAGAGAGGAAGAGATAGAAGAGATGAAGAAGAGGATACAGGAGAGGGTAGATAGAAGGAACGAGAAAATGGAAATGCGGGATGCGAGGAAAAGGTTGAGAGTGAGGAGAGGAGGAAGAGGAGCGGAAGAGATGGGAGAAGAGCTGAGCAGACTAAAAGTGGAAGTGAAGGAAGCGCGGAAGGAATTGAAGAGGTTTCTGAGAAAGTTGGAAAGAAACTGGTGGAAGGGGGTGATCGATGAATGTCAGGAAGCGTGTTCTAGAGGGAGAATGGGTGAAATGTATAAGTGTTTGAGAAAGTTAGGAAAGACAGACAGGCCCGTTGCTAGGAGCACGACAGTGACAGTAAATGAATTTAAGGAGCATTTTGAGAGGGTGTCAAGAGAGAGGTACAAGGAAGAACCAAGAGTGATTGAGGAGACAGTGCAAGGAGCGGAAGATCTAAGGGATGATAGGAGAGCGAGCGAAGCAAATAAGATGATGAATGAGGTGCCTGAGAGGGAGGAAATAATGGAGGCTAAGAGTGAGATACGAGAGTCGGCACCGGGAGAAGATGGGGTGAGAATTGGTTACATAAGGAGCGCATGTGAGGGAGTGAAAGAAAGTGATAAAGATAGTGAGAAGGATTTTCGAGGACAGAGGGGACCAGTGGGAAGAAAGCATAAAAGTGGGACTGATGGTTCCGCTGCACAAAAAGGAGGACAGGAATGACAGAAATAATTATAGAGGAGTATGCCTACTGAGTATGTGTAAGAGAGTTTTAGGAAGAGTGTTAGTGAAGCGATTGAGTTGGTGGGCAGAACACCTGATGCTACTCGATGAAAATCAAGCGGGCTTCAGGAAAGGGAGGTCCACAGCGGATGTGACGCAAATGATGGTGCGAATACAGGAAGATGTGGAAGATTGTAAGAGGAGAGTGAATCAGGAAGGAGCGAATGAAATGAATGATGATGACTGGCCATGTGCAAGACTGTTAGATTTGCGAAAGGCGTATCCGAGAGTGAGTAAACCAGCGTTGTGGATGTTGCTCGAAAGGTATGGTTTGAAAGGCAGATATCTGGAGACTGTTATGGGCCTACGTGAGACGACCGAGTACAAGGTGAGGGGAAGAGAGGGAGTGAGCGAAGTATAGATGCCAGCAAGAGGATTGCGAGAAGGCTGCTCCACATCGCCGATCCTCTTTAACATTTACCATCAGGCGGTGATGAGGCAGGCATTGGCGGCAAGGAGCTGGGATAATAGAGAAGAGAAAGTGTTGGTGTGCAAGTGGATACCAGGTGGGTTGTTCGCAGGTGAACATGCCTGGGAAAAAGGGAGCTCAGAAACGAAAGAAGTGAGAGTGACGAGTTCTCTGTTTGCGGATGACACGACAATAGTGGGGATGAAAGGAGAGATAGATGGGAGTGTAAGGAGAGTGAAAAGAGTGATGAATCAGTGGGAAGAGAGGAACAATGAGGAGAAGGAGGAAGTGCTGGAGTTTGGGACGAAGAGGGTGATGAGATCAGAGTGTTAGGTAGTCGGATTGGCATGCAAGCAGATGTGACAAATAGGGTCAAAAGGACAGGAAAGCTGTGGGGGAGCGTGAAAGGGTGGTTGCAAGGGACACGACTGTCAAAGAGGTGGCAGGGGAGGGTGGGAGAGGTGTGCGGAGAGTAGCTTGTATGACTGTCAGGTGCGAATGTGGTATAAGAAGGATGTGGGAAAAATACAAAAATGGATGGACAAATGCTATAGATATGTGTGGAGTGATAGGAATGGAGAACCGTTGAGACAGATTCACGAAAAGGAAGTGAACATGTATGATGTAAGGAAAATGCTAGGGGTGAAATCTATTGAGTGGAAGATCGACGTCAGAGGTCATCGTCATTTCCGGAGTGAACGCTGGTGGGTTTCTGGACGCCGCTACTCCCGGTGATTTTTTTAAGTTTTTGAAGTTTACATATTTTTTGTGGACCTGCTTTGTGGTCACTGAGTGAACAACGTTCAATCCACACTCAATCGGTCTAACTGTCATTACCTGTCATCGAGTGTTGAGGTGTCATTGAGTTGCGGCTAGCGGCTAGCTTACCTGCTACCTGTTGCTGCTTCCCGGCTTCACTACTCCAGCCCAGCTGTGTGGATCAGCTGTGTGTGGCTTGCTTTCTGCTTGTTTGTCCTGTCTGTTTTCCACCATCCATCGGCAGCGCTTCACCAGTATGCAGCCACTGAGCACAAACTCCCGAGGTCGGTTAGCGTGGCGGTCGCTAGCAGCTGCACTGCTGTCAACGTCAGCCTGCTGAACATTCGCTCTCTTATGAGTAAGGGCCAGTTCATTCACGACCTCCTGATAGACCGTGAGTTTGACATTTTGGTCTAACTGAGACCTGGCAGCAACCTAATGACCATGGTACTCTCAATGAAGCTACTCCACCGGGGTTTGTTTATCATGCTGTACCTCGCATTACTGGGAGAGGAGGTGGCCTTGCGATTATTCTGCGTGAGGATTGGAAATTTGTGCCCATAAATTTGCGTGCTTTTTATCTTTTGAAGCTAGTTATACAACTCTCTGGATCAACTCCCACACTGATTGCCACTATCTACCGACCACCAAAACCAAACAAGGATTTTATCACTGACATCACTACATTCCTCATTCATCTGTATACACTATCACCAGATGTGATTCTGGTGATAGTGACCAAGGCCAGTAGTGGTGAAACTTGAAAAATATAAGGACAAAACAATGATACTACAGAGAGCAAAATACTTAAAAGGTACCAAAATCTACATTAATGAAGATTATACAGATATTGTACGACAAAAAAGAAAAGAATTGCTTCCAAAACTAAAAGCGGCACGTGAAAGAGGGGAAATTGCCTACCTGAGGCACGACAAACTCATCGTCCACCCCCGCGGGCGCGCGCATGCAAATTAGCCATGTGCGCGAAAGCCACGCGCCCTATTTGAATTTGAAATGTGCCTATTTGAATTTGAAATGTGTGTGTAGTACACCTTGCAAACAGTGAACCATTTCATCAACACAAAGCCACTCACTCACTCACTCACTCACTCGCTCGCTGCTGCTTCACACATCTATTTATTGATTGAATTGACAAACTTCACACACTACTACATCTATTTCTTGAAGATTGAAACACACACACATGCAAGAGAGACATTATTATACAGTTGAGATTAAGGAGATTTGGTGTCTTGCGTAGCAGCAGCAACTTGCTGTTGCTGCTGAGGAGATTTGGTGTCTTGCGTAGCAGCAGCAGCAGCAACAGCCAGTTGCTGCTGGGGGTGAGGTTGCGTGAGGTCAACAGAAAGTTGCTGCTGAGGTCGCGTGAGGTCGTTTTCCCTCGCTCGCATCTCCGCCAGCCACAGGGCCAACGGTTTTCCTTCATGGAGCGTGCAGAACGTAAGGAGAGACCTGTTGGGCACTTTGGTCATAAAAGAACTGTGACCATAGACCGCCTGTTGTGGGAGGCCACACTTTCCGCACGTTCTGATTTTGCGGGCTGCTTCCTGCTGTTGCTCTGAGGTCCCGCCTTTGCGTTGCCGCCACGCGGTGGTACAGGGAGGTTGTTGCGGCATCGCAGACGACTGCTGTTGCAGCCATGCCGTTACCGAAACGCTGCTGTGCTCGTTCATTTGGCAGAAATAGCTGCCTTTGTAAAAGGCATGCCCCCCCGCCAAAGTCCGAGGCTGGCCACACAGCACGCAGTCCTCCCCGGGTTTGCTGCCCCACGTGTATTGCTCGTTGGCATCGAGCAGCTGCTGGTCCCGCAGAGCTCTGGTTTTCCTCCTGTGAACGGTACACCTCGCAGGCCCGGGCGCATCACCGCTGCCGCCGGGCCGGGGCTCGCCGCTGGCACGGTTCCTCCTCCTCGTCCTCCTGTAAGCTATCAGGCCACCGCACGTATCGCACTTTCCTCGGCACTCCACGCAAATTGTGGGGGCACTTGCGGCAGATGATGGAATGCTGACCTCTGCAAAAACATCAAGCAAAGTTGGGTGGGCCGGCCGGAGGTCTTCCACCAAAGCGAAATTGAGCGTTGTTTAGCTCTTACCTTGCTGCTCCATGGACGGCATGTCTGGTTGGGCACTTGCGGCAGATGATGGAATGCTGACCTCTGCAAAAACATCAAGCAAAGTTGGGTGGGCCGGAGGTCTTCCACCACAGCGAAATTGAGTGTTGTTTAGCTCTTACCTTGCTGCTCCAGGGACGGCATGTCTGGTTGGGCACTTGCGGCAGATGATGGAATGCTGACCTCTGCAAAAACATCAAGCAAAGTTGGGTGGGCCGGAGGTCTTCCACCACAGCGAAATTGAGTGTTGTTTAGCTCTTACCTTGCTGCTCCAGGGACGGCATGTCTGGTTGGGCACTTGCGGCAGATGATGGAATGCTGACCTCTGCAAAAACATCAAGCAAAGTTGGGTGGGCCGGAGGTCTTCCACCACAGCGAAATTGAGTGTTGTTCACCACAGCGAAATTGAGCATTGTTTAGCTCTTTCCTTGCTGCTCCATGGACGCCGTGTCTGGTTGGTTGGCTGGCTGGCTGGCTGAGAGAAAAATGGGAACGTGCAAGAAGTGGGAGCTATTTATGTAAAGTGCGTGGGGGGTGATGGGGGGCTGGTCAAGTGCAAATCCCCTATTGGAGGGGAGGTGGGGGACCGTCTCCCTTGGCCGTTAGGGGGGGGCCGGGGCCATCTCCCTCGGTCGTCGGGCCAGCTGCCCTTGGCCGTTCGGCTGGGGGGAGCGGGGGACCATCTCCCTTGGTCGTCGGGGCAGGGGGGCTGTCGTCGGGGGGTGCGGGAAGCAAACGACGCAGTGGTGCGGGTCCGCTCTGCGGGAGGGCACATCAAATCGTCACGTTAAGGACCG